TATTTTTGAGTAAGTACCAAATTATCGTGCATTTTTGTAGCTAGTACGACAAGCTGCAGTCACGTTTACGTTGAGGAGAAACTTGAGATGCCGTCCTCAAAAATAAATGCACCTGGTAATGATCGCTTCCAGTACTGCTCCTCGATCGACTCCTAAGAGATGGATTTCGTCAATAACGATCAGATTCACTTTCCGCACGTATTCCCGAGTTTGCCAGCTTCTGCAAATTCAATACAACATGATGATGATGATCACTCACTCAACTGCGGAGAACCAATTCAAGGAGACGTCCGTTATAATCTGCTAAACAGTTCTGCCACCCGATCGTTATGGATTCACCTTGTTATCCCGTCCCACTTCTCTGGTGTAGTGATCATGATCGGAGCAGCATTCAAAGTGCTGACGTCAGGCGTATAGTCACCAGAAACTTCGACAACCCTGGAATGCCACCACAAAAGATTATTTTCAGCTGCCACGGTATGAAGGGGTGAAGAGACTCTACCTGTATCCCATTTTCTTCTCAAACTTTTCCCTCCAATCCGACACACGCTCCCTCACCAAAGCTTTCAGTGGAGCAATATAAACGCACTGAAAAATGTAACATTGGATTTAGAAGCGAGCTACATATAATATTTTAGCAAGCTGACTGGGAGTCCTGAAAGTCAATCCACCACCCTTCTCAGAAAAAACATACCTTTTTACCGGGATATTTCTGCAATAGTCGGAAAATTGCCAGCTCAGCACAAAGGGTTTTTCCAGAGCCAGTTGGGGCACCAATCAACGCGTTTTCGTCTGTATTATAAAGGCAATGAAAAATCTGAAAGTAGATACCATAAGACGTATTTATGAGAATCTTCGCCAGCTGAGGGATTAAAGGCGTAATGAACTACCTGAGTTTGGATCGGGTTGAAATAGGCGAAATTGTATATGGATTCAAATGACTTATTCCGCAAAGTTGTCACCGGTAACGGATCAAGAGGTAGTAAATCTGTAAAACAGCTCAAGTATCCTTGCCTGGGCAATAAAGCGATTATATAAGAGGTTAAGGGCTGGCAAAAACATCCACCACAGTTTTGAACACATTGAACGCCGCCTGAATTGTCGGCAATACACGCGATACTC